AACATTGTCATCAGTATCATCATGCCTACAAGTCCTGTTCATCTACTCACTAGCTTTATGACCTTGAGCCAATTCAGCTTTGCACATCTCAGAGAATGTTAATAATACTTCTGTATGCATCTCACTGAATTGTTTTGAGGATCAAATAAATTAATATATATTGTATGAAGCAAATAAAATAAAATACATTGTATAAAAGTCGTTTGTAATTGTAAAGAGGTATATAATAGTTTATTGTTGTTATAACCCCAAAATCGTTTACCTAGGACTTGAGGCCCTAAACATCTGAACACTTTAATGAACTGCCAGTGTTGATTAAGGGAAGATGGCATATTAATGTTAGAAAAAGGGAAAAAGCCTGGCCACTGATACCCACGTAGAATTCCACAAATGTAAACATCTATCATTGAAATGATACTTAAATTGTAGGGATTATTTTTTGTTTTACCATCAAATAAGTAAGCTCTCTCAGAAAGTTTTATTTAGGGCCAGAAGGGCCAAAATTTTAACCTTTAAAGGAACACTAATCTAGTGTGTTTATCTTAGAGATACTTAGAATGAGTTTTCTCTTTGAGAGACACCAAGGAATTCTTGAGTAAGCCTTAATATGCTTGAGCCAGTGTTCCTGGACCAAAAAGGTACTTAAGGACCAAACCTAACACACATAAAATTGCATTCTTAACTTGGCGCTAAATGATTTGGCCAATCGTCTCTCTCTTTCCTTTAACTATATTGCAGGTATTACAGGTCCTTTTTTGTATTTATTTTTTCTCCCCATCCTAGGACATGTAGAAGTCTATGGGGGGTGGAGGAATTTCTGGAATGAGACTCTTGCCTCAAAACTGTATGAATGTATAAGTCTTTGAGATAGGCCCTGATAGAGTTAGTTAGATAAGAAGGTGGCATGTAATGGTATATTTGGCAGCTCTGTACATCTGTTTACCTCCTGTGAAAAACAGATCCACAACCAGGAACGCAGCTAGTTGTGTGTGTGCTTTGTGCGCCAGGCATGGAGAGTCCCATTTGTGGAGAGCAATGTTGAATTTGAAACCTTTCATGGAGTAGAAGTGAAGAAGAAAGAAAGTAACTAGGAATTGAAAAGACTTCAGTATATGAGAGATGCAAGACATCTCAGAGATTGAGTATAGTAAGATCACAAATATAGCTTTAACACAAGAGAACAATTTGTTTCACAAAGAAAGAAAGGACATTTTATGTAAAGACTGAGCACTGTGACAGACTCTGATTTGTGAAGAGACAGTGATATGTGGCCAGTGGTTTGTAATTCCAATCTTCCTGGCAGTGCTAGTTCTAATAATTCTAGCTACAGATATTCTTAGCGAAACTCAGCAGTTTTAGGGGCCTGTTTTTGAGGAAATGAATTGTGAAGTGCTCAAATTTTCAGCAAAAATTTTTTGAAATGGACTAAGAAAGATTAGTTAGCCAATATAAATAATGTAGAAAAGATAAATAAAGCGTACAGCTATTATAAAGGAGAAGCAATTCACAATATTTGTAGAAAACATGATTGTATACTGTGTGCTATTAAAACTGTTAACTCAATTAACTATTCATATAGATAATAATTACCCTGATTCAGTGACTTTTATATGTATTAGCAATAGAATGTGGGAAATATTAGTTGAAAAAAGTATATTCGAAGTTGCAACTGAAAATATAAAATAATAAAATGTTTATTACAGGTTACAAAGTAAATCTTAATTGGAATGATGTATAAAATTCATCCGAATTTAATTAGATATAATTAGATGTTTCGTTGAATTCCAATCTCAATTTCATCTGGAAAAAATAAAGTGGATATTTAGAAACTTAAGAAGGAATAATCAGAGCAGTGTCCTGTTCAGTGAGCGAAGTGTATTATAATATTACAGCAGTTAAAACAGTGTAGTGTTGACTCAGCAATTGATGGAAAGATCAGTGGGACCTAGTGGGACCCCTGGACAAGCCCCCCAAGGACAGCGTTATGCAGTTTCCTCTGGAGACTCTTAAAAGTCCCAGAAGTGCCGTCAGCCATTGGAGGGAGTAAGTGTGGGGGTCCGAGCTCTCTCATCTCCAGCTCAACGTGAACAGCTCTGCATTTGTGTGTTTTATATATTGGGTTCCCACAATTATATTTAGGTTTCACATTTTGAAACGTTTTCATTGCCCTACTCTTAACATATGGTAGAGGATGCCTCACTAGCCATGTGTGGCGTATGAAACAAATTATGTTGGGGAAGTGAGGCTTACTATGGGAGGAGGGGGCAGATGTTAATATTTCACCTTGGCAAAAAATATAAATTCCAGATGAATTAAGAAACAACTACTTGAAAGAAACACTTGTAGGTATTTGCGTGCTCTCTGGATAAAAGGAATTTCTAAACATTAAAGTAGTAGAAGTTAATGGAAAAGCCTGATGAATAGTTGCTTGTGTAACAATAGAAAAAACAAAAAACAAAACAAAACAAAAAAAACACAAAAAAACAGATCTCCCACCAAACATCCAAAATGTAAGCAACAACAAGACCAGGCAGTGCCTTACGGTCAAGAGATTGTTGGGGCAATGGACAGTTAGTCTAAGGTTTGGGTCTGGTAGCTTAAGATGCCATTGTGCTCTGACTGTGGCTTGCCCCACTCAGTGTATTAGAGTATGGCTGTCTGTGAGTCTGATTCATGTCTCTGCCATGTGTCACATTATTTTGATGGCATCAATGTTTTGTTCTGTGAAGATAATTTCTCCTTATCTTTTGTTCTATTAATGTTTACACAGCTCAATCAATAAAGCTTGTTCGCACCCAGGAACCTCTCCTTCTCTGTCTCTGTTCTCTGTCTTGCAGGAATTGAGGGTGGCTTCTGGTGTTTTGTGTGGCTTCATCATTTCCTTCCTGCCTCTCATCCACTTCATGATGTAATTCTTGGCACTTTTACTTCCTTTGTAGAGTAGGATGTGATGTCATAGAGAAGGGGACAGGGCTATCCAAATTCTCTCAATTGCTGGGAGGAGCTGTCCAGGTGTGCTGAGGGGCCTGTACTCAGGAAGAGAAACAGGGAATCCTCCACAGTGAGTAACCCCAATTTCAAGTGCACCCAAATTTCCGTTAAAACATTGTCCAGTACACTGGAGTTTCTTCTTTGGCCCTTTCTAGATTTAATCAGTTTGCCTTTAGACATTCCCAGTTCAGCTCAATTTTCCTCCTTTCTCACCCTCCTCCTATCTTTCTCTTCTTTCCCCATCGTATGCCTTTCCCTCCAGTTGCCCTCTTCCTTGCTTGCTTCCTGTGTGTCTGTGTCTATTGACCTCCTGCCCATATCTTTTATGAGAGACCCGTTGCCTTTCATTTGAGGCAGTGCTCACCCTATATATAGTCCATGTGAACACAGCATCTCCTTTCAGTAATTCATAATTATGTACTGTTCTACTTACAGTTCTTATTTTAAAACTTCTGTCAGCTTTTTGTTTTCATATCGGCTTCTTCCTCTTTCCCCTGTGCTCTATTTTTTCCCCCTTTTCAGCTCTATTGTGCAGTTTCCTTATTGCCTTTTTTCCAATATATTTATACTCCTCTTCCCTAAACAACTTCGCCTATGTTTCTGTTTCCCCTTTTCCAGTGTTCAGTTCAGCTCTACAGTGTCCTCCTCTGCGAGGACCACTTTCCTTCTTTCCCTTTCACGTACTTGTTGCTATACCCTTGTTGTAGTGTGGCTCATATTTCTGTATTCTTTAAAGAATTTACAACTATGAGTAAGGACGGGGCTGATCAGGATTGGGAAAAGGGGGAATTTCCTGGGAACTAGAAAGGAGAGAATAGGAAAGTATCTGAAAAGTTAGGATGGGCAGGCTGCGTTCAGCACACTGAAGGGCCTCGATGAACAGAGGCTTCACTTGTGAATCAGTTGAAATTTGGTTATTGACAGTGTAAGAGATCACAGAGCCGTTTTGAACAGATTTGGAAGCCTTTTCAAGTTTACATTTTCAGAATGACCCTGTTAATTCTTAATAATTATGATTCTTCGAATAATAATAGATTGGAACTCTAGTGTTTCTAAGTTACAAGAGGCCATGACTTGAGCATGAAGCTCCTGCATAGCATCTTTAATTAGGTGTCATCTACCCTTGGAGTAGGTCATTGTGAAGATGTGTGTAACTTGTTTCTTGTACCCAGATGTGGTCCCTGTAGTTCATGTTGGTGCACAGTAGGGGCACTACTGTTTATTGTTTCCACCACATGGGGTTAAGTCCCTGGAAAAATAAAGGAACCTGATTTCCAGGGCTGATGGTCTAAGACCTGTGGAAATAATCAGCTATGTCCTGTGTATTCCACACCCTTTGTTTAAAAGAACCCCTTTCACAAAAGATAGGTAGGGCAGAAGAGGAGAGAAAGAGAATGGGACTGAGTTCATACGATTGAGATAGGCTAAATGGGAAGAGGAAAGGGCTTACTTGAAATTAATTGGAAAAGGCAAAGGAAAGGAAACTGAGCTGAACTGGAAAACACACTGTAATGAGTTACTTGGGTTCCTGTATGCTGCTTTCAATATTTTGGGCATGAATCCAGTGAGGCCGTTTGTGACCACACTCTGTTCTCTTCTATTGGTAGTATTCAGGCTCCATGTTTCCAAGGACCTGGAATCTTAGGAAACATTTTAACAGCCTGAAAACATGACTTTCACCATAAAATATTAGAAACTTTTTAAATAAAGGAAATTATATACATTTGTTAACTTGTTTTCTTTAGGGTTCACATTTCTTTCTTGGTGTGTATGCCTTTGTGACATGTTTGAAGGATGGCCCCTTTTTGTTGCAGAAATTTCCGATTTAAATGTCCAAAAAAATTACGTTCTCCCTTTGGGCACCTGACCTGTATAATGGACTCTTACTTTGATGTAAAAGCCCCTTCCCCTGTAGTAAAATAAGCAGAGAATGCATGATTCACATACATTTTCATTTTGTATGCTGCCGTGCAATAATCTCGGAATCTTATGTTTATATTTTAGGCACTAGAAAAACACCCCAACTCACCAATGACAGCAAAGCAGATATTGGAAGTCATTCAGAAAGAAGGGTTAAAAGAAACAAGGTCAGTATCCATATTTAAAACATTTTCTGTTTTCATTAAATAATAATTGCCACTCGTTGCTAAGCAGTAGGTGTATCTAGATTTTGATATTGTAGTTGATTGTGAATTGGGTAACTACCCACAAATTCTTTTCTAATTGAGAAGTAGTTGGATGGTTTAAGATTTCCTTGGACTTGCCTGTTACCTTAATACATTACATTAGATGGATTGATACAGGAGGTACTTTCTTAACAAAGAACAGCACTGTGTGACTTAGCCCCTCCTTGAAGTTATTCCTGTTTCTTTTTCTTGTAAGAGGAGATCATGTTTCTGAAACCAGGTGGTGAAAGAGAAACACTTTTACAGGTTTAATAGGTAGATCCCAGGATATAAAGATGAGCTCACTTTGATAAAATTCAGTGCCAGTAAATGTGGTTGAAAATCTAGTCCTCTTATATTTAAGAAACTCTACTTGGTGCATCCTGTAATAACTGTTGAGCCTAATATTTACCCTTTTAAAATGTACAGTTTAGTGGATTATGTTATATTCACAAAGTTCTGCATCATCAACGTTATCAAACTTTAGAACATTTTCATCACCCTAAAATGAAACCCTACACCCATTAGCGGTCACTCCATATCCCAACTACTCTTGCCTCTGGCAGCTGCTAGTCCACTTTCTGTCTCTATGGACTTGCTATTCTAGACATTTAATATAAGTGGAATATAGATATGTAGCCTTTTGTGAAAGGCTTGTTGGACTTAGCATGTAATGTTTTCAGGGTTTCCTCATGTTGTAGCCTATAACAGGAATTCCTTTTGGTTGCCAGATAATATTTCAGTGATGATTCTTTATTCTTAGGTATTAATTTTATGGTTTTAGATAGCAAGTTAGGGCCGTATAGATGATATTACTCAAGGAGAAAAAGGTTTACTATAGGATAAAACAACTATGATGTCATATGTGTATGTAATCAGCCTTGTTACATAGAATAGATTTGTGTACATGAGTTGTGCATCTGTAAGCCATTGAGCATACAGTAGTCACAACTTGATGAAATTAAACCTACTGAACTACCTTTTGAATGTTTTCATTTGATGTGGATATAGAAACTGCTAAGATAAATAAATATCCTTCTGAGGCTGACTTTTTGTGAAAAGTAGGTTTCAGCTATAACTCCTATAACTTTAACGTGTGGGTAACATCAGCCTTTAGCTGTTTAAAATGTATCTTTTGCAAGGTAGGTCCATAGACATCACAATTTACTGGGGTACAGGAAACCTATGCTCAAATTTTCATTTTTTATTTTGGAGACTTTTTTCCTGCCTGCTCTGTAGAAGTAGCCTAAGATAATATAACCACATTGTGTTTGCACTAATTGTTCCCCCACAAAGTGGAGGCAGCAGTGGGCAGGTTAGTTGCTAACAGTACCTAACAACTCTGTTAAAGGAGATCCTATTTTAACCCAGATGTCAGTTTAAGAAGTTAGGGAACAAAATCAGGAAAACAGGAGATTAATTTTCTTCTTGCCACCTGTCAGTAACCCTGGAAATATTTATGACAATTAGAAAGCACTGAAAATATTTGTGCCATAGTCAAAAGAAAAGAAGGGCTAAAAATCTAAGGATGTCAACTGTCTTATGTAGGCGTTGTTGCCAGAGGAATCTGCCAATGTGGACATAAAAAGCACCTCCTAAAAGCAGACATTTGAAATTCGTTCATTAAGATATTCTTCTCCACAGGAGTGACTCTGCTGTTATCAGTTGTTATGAAGCTGGAGATATAAAAATCCCTGTACTGTGACTCACAACAACATTTTAATTACACTTGTTATATTATAGCATTATTTCAAAATTTTCAAAATGCTGGTCCTCCCAGAATGGTATATAAGAGGGCTTTCAGCATGTGTAGTTAACAAAGACAAACAAATTTTAAAAACCAACTTCTTCAAAGAGTAATTAAAGAACGCTGAAATGGGGAATGTAACTCCTTAGTCCTCTAAATTGAATCTGTCTCCCCACTTCACCCTCTGCGTCGCTATTTGTCCTTCTGTAAGGAAGAAAAAAGTCCTTTGTTACAAATACTCATGAACCAGTATAGTATTAGTGAAGTACCTGCACACAATTACCGGTTTGAATAGGAAAAGGAAAAGCAAAGAAAGAGAACACAGTTAAAGTTTTCTTCTGTAAAATCTGCTCTGCATCAAGTGGCCTCAGACTATGCATTTTGTGCTCCCATTTGTTTTTTCATTCTATTTCTTTAAATTTCCCCCTTCTTGTCAATGGTAATCCATTACTTACGACTCATGCATCTGTGCTCACTGTTCCCTTGTTTTCTAGTTCTAATTTTCTTGTTAGAGTCACCTCTAAAATAAACATACCTAGCTTTTGAGTGAGTTTAGGACTGTCTTGTACGGATGGATGTTGTTTCAAGGAGCAGATATGGACACTTATTTTGCCTCCTTAATGTACTGTTTTGCTACTTTCCAAGTTCTTAAATGTTTTCCAAATATTTAAGGTAGTTGAGTAAATGAAATGTAACTGTATGTGTTTTTCTTAAGTAAAGTTTAGAAATTCCACCTTCATGAGGTCAAACATAGCTGATTGATTTCTAGGTATTTACTAATGATGTGTTTCAAGAAATGCACATTAGTAATATGCGTGATTAAATACAGGGAAGTGCTTGTAAAGTTACTAATATGGTCATAACCCTCTGGTGGTCTCTTCTATGGATGAGAGGTAATGTTTTAATGGTCCTACCCCAAACAGTCCTCTACTGTACCTAGCATTTCTAGACAATAGAAGATAAGGTCTTCAGCCACCATCATCATTCCAACCTGTACTCAAAGCAAGGCCATTTGTGTCAGGTACTATGGGGGTCCTTCATTCTGTATGTGTCAGGCAGGTCTCCGATAGCGCTTACCTCGCTGTACTGTAATTTTGTCTTTGTATGTCTTCCCTGCCTGTGTGTGAGCTCCTTAAGGGCAGGGTACCTAACGCTTCTGGCTCTCGGCAGACACTCAGTAAATAGTTGTTTAGTCAATAATCTTCATTCTCAAGATGTTAATTTGCTGGTGCTTAGTAATGACTTTGGCTTGCATTCAGAGTTAGAAACTTCTTTTTAACATGTTGTGTTTTTAATGATATGTAATAGTAGTTATTTTTAACATCAAAAGAAACTTAACAGTTTTGTGGAAATCCCATTAAATATATGTATGCTGATAGTTTCCAGCAGATTATCTGTGAACAACTGAAGTTATCGTGCTGTTGCTTGTTTTCAAACACTGTGAAAGCCACTAGTTTAAACTTGTAACTTATAATAGAAAAACTACATTAGTAATTTTGGCAAAACTAATGAGGATATTTGAATATGTTCAGTATATATGTTACTGTTATTTGAGGTGAAATTTGACATTGTATGCTGTGTTTTCCTCTTTACAAGTGACACTTTAAGTCATATAATGTTCATGTAGACATGATAAAAATAGGACTTTTTACATCATGTTCTGTGTCTCCATATTATTGATGTAATGTGTACAGTAGGATTAAATTCTATTTGGAAAAGCCAGAATGAAATAAGTACCTTCCATGTGGGTAAAAAAGAAGTGTGAAATATGAATATAATAAATTAGCAGAAGGACATGTGGTTTTGTTGAAAAAAAAAAATAGAATGATTTTTTAAGACCTGGTTTTCTTTCTTATGAAAATACTCTTGGTAATTTTTACTTCCCCTCTGTATAATAGGATAGAAGATTTTATTAATGTCATTTTATTCTGGTCCCTCTGTGTACTTGCTTCACTGATTCTGAGTGTTTTTAGGGCTTCTGCTCCTTTATGTTTATTAATTGTCAACAGTTGATCAATCAAAGTATTGGAAGGCTTTTCAGATGATTGGAATCATATAATCAAATAGCCATGCTACTTCCATAAACGGGATTAAAATGTGAATACTCCAGTCTGCTGCTTTTGTGGATGGATATTTGATATCCCTCTTTGGACTTCTCAGCTAAACATCCCCACTTCCTTCCTCAGGGAGTTAGGGTGCTGCCGTGGAGTATGTTCTCGTCTGCAGTAAGTGAAAATATTTGTTTAGAAAAGAGGAGTAAGTCTAGTTACAGTGTTGCTTTGGATGATTTTGGGGGTCATTCCAATTCTGATTTTCTGTTTTTGATTTGCTTGTTCAGAAGTTATCATTCCTTTACCAAGAGGACTGTGGGATTTTTGATGCCTGAGGATGTGTTTTTGATGCCATGTCTCACATAATTTTTCAAGTGATGCTTCCGAAGAAATGTGTGCTCTGTTATAGTAACATATCCAGGGGTTGCAAGGTCATGGAGTAAGGCTTACCTGACTTATGTAGTGAGAGCAAAACAACCATTCATCAGTGAGGAATACTTTTTGTATGTGCTGTACATTATCATTATAAGATACCTGTTACTAATGTAGCAGGAACTGTGATTTAGTTTTATATTATTTGGTAATAGGCAAATAGTTTATAATGAGCCTGAAGTGGTCATAAAATTAAAATATATATACACACACAAACCACACAAAGCATTTAAGAAAACCTCTGTTGGGTTGAGGGCAAGACAGTATTTATGAGGTACATTTTAACAATATTAGAGATGCCATACTTTAGATTTAAAAACTATGTTAAATTTCATCAACTGTTTACAGAGAAGCAACCTATAATTATATATTTCAATAGGGACATTTTAAAAAGTTTTATAAACAGTATCTGTTATGTTTAGTGTTCCTCAGAATAATGGACATATTTTAGATTTTGTGATGTAGAACATGCATTGACATCCCAGATTTTGTCATTATTCTAGTATCAATGAGAATTTTTTATTCCACTGATAATTCTGGAATCTATTTTTACCTCATTTTGTTTAAGACTTTTTATGTTTTCTGTTTTGCAATCTCTGTTATGATATGCTGAAATTAGAATCTCCACTTTGTACTGTGGTTTATTAAAGATGTTGCATTTCTTTCGGGGGATAACATGTCAGAAATTCTAT